GGGGGGGGGGGTGGGGGGGGGGGGGGGGGGGGGGGGGGGGGGGGGGGGTATCGCTGTGTTTTTGTCGTCTGTGGAATTAGTCTGGTGGTTGACTTCGAGGCACTCAAGATGTGTCAATGAGTGCATCGCGCCCTTTTCCCCGTGCGAGTGTCTTTGAGAAGGCGTTTAGGTGAAAAAACGATAGACGAGGGGGGGGCGAGGAGGAGAAGAGCTTTGAACATGTTGGAAGATATGCGATGACGTTGATCGTGTGACTGCCAGGGAAGGCACTATTGCACCCTTCTCGTCTATCATGTTGAAAGGCAGGCACCGTAGGGGGGGGACGGTAGTAGAAGCATAAAAACTCCAAAACTCCAGTGGTAGGTTTCTTCCTGTTTGACCCTGATTGGTGCGTCAAGCTTTTACCGATGGCGTGTGGAGACTGGCGCCCCAGAATACATGGGACGAAGACACGCACACGCACTGCCTCCCCCATGATTCCCGATCACGAGGTCCCAGATCATGGCCTCTTGAAGAAATTTGTGTTTTGAACCACGCTGAGATGGACATCTTTTCATTGGTCAGCCTGTTGGCGCGGCCGATGCTATCAATCAAAGCATGCCTGAGGGCACTGCAAAAATGTATTAAACGAAGGGCTCTGATGATAAACAAACGAATCACAATCACTAACCGTCCGAGCAGGCGGGTTTTTCACCGCACGTGCACCTGATATCAGCTTGGGAAGCGCAGCCGGAGCTTGAGCTTTTCACGGACCGGCTGTTGTGCCGCAAAATAGGGGGGCCCGTGACGCTGACCCTGGAGAAGCACCCCCCGAGCATAAAGGAGACGCTGAGCATCAAGGTTAGCAAGCAGCAGACAAGGCTTCACAAGAGCATGCGCGTGTGTGACAGTGATTTGCCTGCTGCGGGGAGCAAGGGCGTGTGTCGAGGGACTGCCCGTGCATGTCCCCCCTCCGCCCCATCCGCCCACTACCGTCTCGGCTCTCTCGTGTTGGTGTTGTGCACCCTGCTCGTTTTGTCTCCCTTGCGCTCGTCCTTGCCGTATTTGGTTGTCTGTGCTGCTCGGCAACGATGACACCAACCGCTCGACTACTACTACGACTACGACGACAGCACCGAATCTATATGAAGCCGAGAGTCAGGGAGTACGACTTGTTCGTTCAGGTGAGCTTCGAACTCTCTTGTTTTTTTGTCAGCGATCTCACAACGAGTTGCCGACATGTGCGTGTCCTTTGAGGTCCAGGAGTGGATAAAACGAAGCCGTCGTGAGACTCACGAGATCTCGAGATACTACAACCTACGAAGGCATCTACCTACCTACCTACCTACCTACCTACCTACCTACCTACCTCTCTACCTACCTACCTACCTATGTGTAGTTATTGTTGTGGTTGTGGAAAAGAGGGTTTCGTCCTCGACAGACGTTGGGGAGTTTCAACCTTTATGAAGGTGTTCACCACATTACCCCCCCCCTTTTTCGAGGCTTTCTTCTTGTTTGCTAGGCAAGAGAAGTCTTCTTGGGGTAACCGGAGCCCGACCGGCTGGCGGCGAGTAGAACCTCCTTTTTTTCCAACAATCTTCTGTGCGTGCGTGCGGGTGCGCCACTTCCGCCACGCATTGCCAGAAGTTTCGAGTTCGATAGACAGTGCATCGTGTTCTTGGCCCACCCACCGTTTTTTCTTTTTTCCGTACTCCGGAAGAAAATTACGTGAGCAGCGGGTTTTGAACCCGTGTCTTCTGCAACCAAAAGCAGACACCTGACGTCATCTCTTCGTTGACGCCATTGTGGAAAAAAGGGTTTCGTCCTCGACAGACGTTGGGGAATTTCAACCTTTATGAAGGTGTTCACCACACCGTCGTTCATGGTATTCATATGTTCTATGTTGCCTACTAAAGTGGACGCTTGCGTGTGTTTGCGACGCCGCCACTATCACCTCCACCACCAATGTTTTACCCCCATCGTATCGAACACCATCAACACCAACCAGCTGGAGGACGACATGATCTTGACGGTGAACCACATCCTCACCTACCTGGAAGAGTCGGAGAAACTCTCGCTCAGGAAGTGAGTCAAGTCAATTCAAGCCAAGCCAAGTCAAGCCAAGTCAAGCTGTGGGCCAGATTCCTTCCCAGTGGAACAAGGGGAGCAGGAGATGTTTTAACCTCGAGCCCGTGCCAGCCCAGCCACATTAGTTTTAGTAGTCAGAAAGAGTTGCTGGGAGTGGAGAGGTAGGATATATGTATGCTACAAGTCTCCTAGTGTCTGGAGATGGGATGGGTACCTCATGGCATTGGAAGCGGGCATGGGGCGGAAGAAGATGGGGGGAGGGGGGGGGGGCAGGCGCGCGCTTGTA